AACACTAGTGGTTTCTTTTTGATAGTTTGATATCATTAATTATTCTTTATTGCCTTCCTACCATCAGAACAAATTGCAAGGTAACTCTACTATATTCCTCACAGCTTATTAAATCAGCTGCTCTAAGCTAAAGATCTTTGCTTATTCAATTTCTCAAGTATTTACTCCCATTCATCTTGGCACATAAACAGTGTGCCATCCTGTGCTATGTTTTTAAATCTGAGAAGCAGTAATCTGACCTCTAACTTTGTTCTTTAAAAATACTCTTATACACTGCATGATTTGGTAATCAGCAGTAAACCCAGGTTTTCAGAAAATTATTCTCTTTCAATTAGACAAGATGCCAGTTTTAAGAAATGCAACTGAATTATAAGGTTCTCCATACATTCCCAAGATTATGGCTACTTACACCATAGTTGCTTTTGTTTTTGAGAATCATTGTTTATCACTTTGTCTCCTTAAATATTAAGGAGTCATTAGTTCCAAGAATTAAATAAAGTCTCTGGAAAACAACAATAAAAGCAGGATAATTTCACAGAACTGAATAAAATGACATGTTACAAATTTCAATCATAATTTCCCAACCTTTGTGAAATCTGGCACAATTATAAAGGGCTGGCTATAAATGTCCATATGATGAAGCCTGAACAACCAGGAAAATGAAACTGTAAACTTCCCAATACTGCTGGGCAGTGTCCTCAAAAGTACAATGTGCGTTTATTAGTTTCCTCTTGTGTTTAGTTTGACTTTCAATGTTCCTTTAACTCCGTCATAGTAAACATACCGCTGAACTCCCTTGAAATAATAAATTGTACTTGTAAAGAAATGATGGCTAGGTCCAGGACTGTCCAGGACAGTCTCATTTTCCAATGAGACTTCAAATGTCATATTATTAAAAGAAACAAACTTGGTTTATAAATGTTGGATTTAGATTGCCTATAATAACCTCTCTAGCTGAAGTCCTCAAATTTTAGATGAATTTATCTAAGCCAGGGTTCTCCAAAGATCGATCGATCTATCTATCTATCTATCTATCTATCTATCTATCTATCTATCTATCTATCTATCTATCTATCTATCTATCTATCTATCTATCTAATCTATCTATCTATCTATCTATCTATCTATCTATCTATCTATCTATCTATCTATCTAATCTATCTATCTATCTATCTATCTATCTATCTACAATGTTATACTAGTCCAGAGTCTATAGTGCTAACACAGAGTAGTTATTTGGCTGCCTGCTAGCCATTCAGTTCATGCTCTACTGAACTTGAATATACTGGATATAAATAGTCTGAACCTGGAAGAGTGTAGTGATTTACAACTAAAACTCATTCTCCAATCAAATATCAAAGCCCTTGTTGTCACTCATCAGAAGCACCCTTCCCATTAATGATAAATGTATGTTAAATCTTATATTTTTCATATTTTAAATATTATCTGTTTTATGGTTATTATTCAAAGTATTATTAAAATTACATTTATTAATTATATTCACACAGTATAATTTTGGATACCAATGAACAATCTGAAACTTCATAAAGAGGTTGATGAGCTGAAGAGTTTGGGGACCCCTGTCTTAGGCTAACAGAGTAACTCTCTTAATTGTGCCATTATTCAATCTGCTAGTTTGATCAAAAGAGAAAAATGAAGAATTTTCAGATGGGATAAAAAAACCCAAACATGAAGGGATGCATATGAAATAGTTTGCTCAATACATAAGCTTAAAGGTTCCCCTGTCAAAAGATATGGCGATATCCAATAAAATGATCCACAAATGGTAGCCACCAACTACTTATATAATTGTTGTTGACCTCCTACAATAGGTGTATCTGTGCTGAAGTAAAGACAGCCATCCTGAATGATTGAAGCCACAAGGCAGACAGATTCACAGGATTTGTCTTGAGTTTCCTGCAGATCTGCTAACTAAAGCAATAAGGAGCCATTGAAAATCTCCCTGGTGTATTTAAGTATTTTTATTACTACTGTCTGTGTGCCCCCATGTATAAGACACAGAAAAGGAGGAAACTGGAGGCTGCCTTTTACTAAGGAGCTTCACATCTTTCTGTTAACTGCAGTTTATCAGATGTGCAGCTAAAACTTCCAGGTTATTGTAAGAGGGGTTTCTCCAGGGAAAAGACAGAATTGTCCGATACTGATACAATTGAAGACTGAGAAGCACTCTTCATCAGAGAACCCATTCCTTCATCGAAGGGATCTTAAGGAAACCCAGTCAAGATTTGCACATTTTCTCATTACATAATTCTCTGAATAAATTTAGCAATTATATAAAGCAGAGTTAGCAATTTCCAAAGTGACAGCTGAATTGATCTGTTGGAACACAAAAGCACTCCATTGGATAGTTTAGGTTCTCCTGTCAGGATCATTCCTTTTCCTTCCTGAAGGTCCTTCATCCCTAAGGAAGAGATTCTGAGCAGAGGAAATAAGCGCAAGAACCGCAGAAGGAGACATTTGTAAAGGAAAGATTCATCCCTTTCTCTCAGATTATTTCCTCTGCTCAACAAAACTTGTCTTCTGCAGGACTCTCCCACCCAAAGGAAACAGATTCAACTTCTATGGCATCACAAAACTATTTACTATTGTTTTATAAGTTAGTTGTTCTGATTTTTCTAAGTTATTTTCTCTTTATTTTTTTAAAAGTTTTTTTTAAAATAAAAATCTGTTGCTAATGCAGGTTTCTGACATCATTGATGGATAGACTACAATTTAAATAACTCTTTTGAGAAGATATAAAGAGCAATCTCACTGTTAACATAATTGCTATATGCTAAATATTTAGCATTAGCATTTAACAAGACTTCTTCCAGTGCTTCCCTGAATAACCAGCTCTCCTTAGGAAGCTGACTCTTGAAAACATCAACCAAGGCTCATTACTCACCTCCAATTTTAAGTCAAGACTCTCACATTGCTTTCCGAAGTATATCCAAGAGCTTGCAAAAAGTTACAATACAAATATCCTACCAGTCCAATGCTAGATGAAATCATTTATCTAAGTAATGTTTTCTAGTTATAAGTGTAGTTGTAACAAATATGTCCCATGTTCCCCCACATAGCTTTGGGAACAAGCAATGTATTCAAAAGACTTACGTTAGAACTCTTGCATCTCTATTCCAAAGGCAATCCCACTGAGTCGAAAGCAATTCACCTTCTGAATTATTAAAAATGCCTTTGTTTTTAAACTTATTGCATTTGACTCCAACTACTTGAGTTAGAAGATTCATATATGACAAATCAGCACATCTTACAGTCAAAGAATTAAGCATATTAAGAGCCAGCTTTGCAGCTCTTTAGCAAAAAGCAAATATAAGTTCAAAGGGCAAAATATATATGCTTCCAGCTGCAGTGTCTTTCATTACAACCTGAAAATATTTGGGATCAGGAGTACATTTCAATTTCCAGCCCACATGTTTAAGGTCTATGGATTGGGTTGACCATTTCCTTATCAGCCTTCATTCAAAAGTACTTTCTTTGTTTCTACTTTCAAGTTTATAATAAACAGATAACAAAAGAAGAAAGGCTAGAAAAATATACCCACAGAGGTTAAAGAAAACTACATTTGCTTGGTTTCAGAGTCCACGCAAAGCATATCAGAACAATGATTTCAACAATATTTGTTTCCTTACCTTATTCAACATGTTAAAAAAGAAAATAAACCCTGCAAGGAAACACAGTGCCTGCATTGTATTTGTGCTGGTGGGAAGTCAAGAACCTGAACGGATGTTAGATTTCATAGTGAATTAGCATGCAGCAGCAGCAGCACTGTGGTCTGATATGCAAAGTGCTAATTAAGGCCCACAGAGTGGACCATGCACCTGTTGCTATTTGATTCAGAAGGCATTGTTTGGATTCCTGTAGATTTACATCAAAAACCATTTACTGCAGTGATTGGAACTGGCTGGAACTCAGGTTCAACTTACAGTATTCAAGAGGCTTTCAATGTGAGTGCTTCTCCACATTCCCATCCTTCTCTCCCTCCTCCCTCTTTTCTCCTTTAAGAATTTTGCTTTCTTGAAAATAAAGTCAGGCTATTTCTCTTATCCTCCCTAAAATCTCCTAAAGAAAGTTATGTAACTACTTGCACACTCCTGCACTAAAATTCAAAGTTTCTCCAGGTTTCTGTGTGACAGCTTCCTAAATTTTTATATGAAATTTAAAAACTATACATTTCCAAATGTCGGTTCCATTTAAAAGGAAAACGTTCTCCCATAGCAAGGATGAATTTCTATCCTATCTGTAACGCTCCTGGTCAAAATAAAGTCACCTTCCGTGTTTCAAAAGGATGTGGTTATAAACCGGTGTACGTACTTAGATCTTTTTTCCCTCTGGGTTATTTTTTTTTTAATCCCGATTTAGGATTAATTACGCTAAACCAGGCCTATCCAAAATCATTTAATCCTAAACCGGGTTTATCCCAAAGTTCAGAAGAAGAAGAAGAAAAAAGTGAAATACAGCATTTATAAAAGCTTTAGCACTAAATTTTACACACGCAGCAACAACAAGAATGGTGTTCCGCTGCGGAGTAACAGTCCGATCCACCCCTTGCTTCAAACAAACCAGGATGTAACAATGTGGTTACTTAGAAAGTTACGCATCTGCCTGGTAATTAATGATCTAGAACCCGTGAATTTTGATTTGAGAAACGTAAAAGCCTGAAGGACAGGGCAGCTCATGAGCAGAAAGCGGACTAGGATGCTACGCTATCCATTAAATAAAAAAAAAAATACGGGGGTGGGGGGAAAGAGTCTTCCCCAAAGGCGAGAGAAAAAAAAAATACAGCTTCTGACCCTTCCTTTCGGGGGGGGGGGGGAGATAGAAAGAGATTCCGACGCTTTCGAGAATGTGCCCAGGCGCGTCTTGTGCCTGCCCCAAAGAAAGAAAAACGGCCCGCGTCCGCCGGCGTCTTGTTTGCGCGCTCCTCTCCAGCCCTAAAGACACCTCCGCCACCTCCAGCCCTTCGGACGGCACGGCTTTACCTGTCAACCGCCGGCCCTGGCCTTCTCTTCGGAGGGGGGGGGGAGTCGAGGGAGCTACTCGCTGGGTTCCTTCCAACGCGTCGACCTTTTTTTTTTTTTTTTTTTTTTTTCCCCCTTTCAGGAGGACGGCGGTGCCACGCTTCGCAGCCAAAGCGGAGAGCCGTGTGTGGAAAGGGGCTGCTGCTGCTGCTGCTGCTGCTGCTGCTGGCGGGAAGGCGCGAGGGACGCTTTTGCTCTGACTCCTCTCGGTCACCGCATGGGGATATTACCGAAGGCTACGCTTTCTATTGGCTCCGGTCACCAAACAAATCACACTCGCCTCCCCTTTCGAGCCGCTCGGCGCTCCTCTCAAGTCCCTCCCGCCGCTGCTTTCTGCTCGGGGGTTGTTTCTCCTCCAGGCTTGCAAACGCTGCAGCCGCCCTCCAGCTAGGCGCGCGCGCTGCTTTTTTTTCTGGGTCTGGACTCTCTGCTGCCGATTTGCACGCTTGTCTGCAGGTTAGGTTTTATTCACCTGCAACCTAGGAGTGTCTTCCCACCGTCGGGTCCGCGAGTCTTGCCTAGAAAACCATTAGGCCCCCTCCCCAAATCATTTCCGCCGTCGTCATTATCCTCAAACTGCGGACCGTGGAAGAGAAATAGATACATGGATTTAAATAAAGCCAAAGGTCTGCCCGAAAGCTTTAAAAAAAATGAATTCGGGAAGGGGTACCGGGATTGTAAGCTCGCTCTTGTCTGTGGCCTGCGAAAACTTGCGTAGGTATCGGGGGTGGGGAGGTGGGAGAAATCATTTCGGAATTGACTGCATCAGAATTAACAAGACGATATATAGTGTGATACGGCAGGACGTCACAACTTACTTTAGGATCCCAAACTCTTGAAAGCCCCAGAGGAAAATGTCAGAGCTGATACCGGTACAAGTTTCCTGGCGGCTTTTTTCAATTGTTCCTATAAAGCTTAAGACATTTGCAATAGAATATATTGTTCTATATATGTGGTGAGGAGTGTGTGAGAGCGTTTTTGGGAGCATCAATCGGAGAAACAAGATTGATTCGATTTTAGAAGGATGCAGATAAATCAATACATTTTTGAGTGGCTAACAAAAGAAAAAAATGGAACTCCTTCATTTAATATGTCTAATTCAGTCTAGGAAAGTGCAGGTTAATGAAAATTTGAATTAATTTGAAAATACTGTTGAATATATAACTTGCAGCATGTTTCCCCCCCCTCCCGAAACATGCTAAATAGAGGTTTTAAAACTATTTCAGTCTGAGGAAACACACAAAATCCTTGGATTCTGTAAAACAGAAGAAATAAAGATATTTCAGCAACCCAATTTGCTGATCTGAGTTACATATAACACTAAGCTACAATGGCACTGTTCGTACATTCTCATAATATGTAGTGTAATGGCCAAATTAATTTGTTAGCATTCAGTATTATATTAACAAACTATGATAGCACAAAAATCCTGGCTTAGTGTTACTTTGCTTAATATTTTATCAGTTACATGTCCAAGCACATTCACTTTGATGTGTAGCAGGTAATAACATCTTCTCAACCTTGTCTGTGCTTAGAAGTTAAGCAAAGGCAGGCCTAAATACAGGTAGTCCTCCATTTAACGGCCACAATTGAGCCCAAAATTTCTGTTGCTAAGTGAAACATTTGTTAAGTGAGGTTTGCTCCATTTTACAACCTTCCTTGATATAATTGTTAAGTGAATCGCTGCAGTTAAGTTAGTAACATGGTTGTTAAATGAATATGGCTTCCCCATTGGTTTTGCTTGTCAGAAAGTCATGAAAAGTGTTCGCACAACCCTGGGACACTGCAATCGTTATAAATGCATGCCAGTTGCCAAGAGTCTGAATTTTGATCATGTGATCATGGGGATGTTGCAATGGTCATATGAAAAAGGGTGATAAGTCACTTTTTTCTGTGCTGTTGTAACTTCAAATGGTCACTAAACAAACTGTCGTAAGTCAAGGACTACCTGTAGTAAGGTATGGCCAAAATCAGAATTCCCAATTCAGGGAATTCCAAGGCTAGACTGGCAGATAAATAAACAATGGAGTGAAGTCATAGCAACCACTGCTGCACTGTAGCTATCTTGACAATATGGGCATCCAAGAAGTCACCAACAATGGAGCTCAACTCAAAAGAAACTTCACTGTTCCATTTCAAGAGGCCCTGAGTGTGTAGAAATAATTGATAGTTTTCAGGTGCTGTGAGATTGTCTGCCTCAGTATGGTGGCTGCTTAATTATCAAAGTAGACTTCTTAGTGTGAGCAGTTTTTAGGAGCCAAGAGTGCCCACTTACTGAGGTCTGCACTCTGCTGCAAGCACCCTACAGGTATGTGAGTGACCCAACAAACCAGGAGTGAGTGGGGAGGAGGAAAAGGCTGGTATTGCAAAAAAAAATAAGGTAGGTGAAGATTCTCAGTCTCTCCCCTCCCACTTCTAGTCAGTTATGTTTAGAACTGCCACTCAAACAATTCTCACAATGGCTGAAGGTTGTGTAAGCTACATTTTGGACTTAAAATACCCTAGGGTGGGAGAGACAAGTTTGAGGAGAGCTCCCTTAAAGGAACTAATATAACCCCCCATCCCCAAATAATCAGAAGGTTGAATGAGAGACTTTCCCCTCACTGTGCTGTCTAGTAAAATGAGATGAAGCTTTTGTAAGACTTTCAGATCTGCATTTTACCAGAGTGAAATGTTGTAGAAAGCCCTGGAGGAAACAGATTATCCCCCCGCTATTCCAGTCAGACATCAGGCCTAGATAAGGCATAGAGATAGCATTAAACATACTTGTGGATTATTTCTGATAGGACCAAGATAGTAGTGTGATCCTCCTGGTCCTGCTTGAACTTCCAACAGCTTTCAATACCATCAGTCATAGTAGGCTGAGCTGTTTCTAAGAGTAAGGAGTCTATGGTTTTATGTTCTCCTCCTATCTTAAGGAACAGGTCCAGTTAATAATGGTATAAGAGGAGAAACTGGGCCATGTACTCCTCAATTGTGGGCTACCATGGGACTCAATGGTCCATACTCCTATTCAAAATCTATTCAACTAATAGGGAAGACAATGTGTCAGACAATCTGGTCAAATTTTGTTACAACTTTGATGATGCTGAATTTTACATCTCAACCTTGGCCAAACAAGTGATGTTGTCAATGTCTTGTCCAAGTATCCAAAGAGTTTCAGAACAGGGTGGGAAAGAATTAGTTCTGAATGGGGTTGCATTCTCCCAAGCAGATCTGATTTGCAACTTGGGATCCTCAAGAAGCAGGTGACAACTATGGCCCAAGGTCTTTGCACAGTATTATCTCATGCACCATTTGCAACCTTTCCTGGAATGGGAATTTTTACTCAATGTCATTCATACCTTAGTCTCAACTGGACAACCTCTCAGCTGGACAATTGCCATGTGATTTATATGGATTTCCCCTCAAAGAGCATTCAGAAATTACAGCTGGTACAGAACACAGCAGTTTGAATTGTTATGTGTACACCTGGATGCACCTACATTACACATACTGTACTTTGAAAGCTGCACTGGTTGGGCTCTGGGTACAATTCAAGGTGCTGACTCTCACCTTTAAAGTCCTTCAGTATCTGGATATTGTCCTGATGACTTCTGTCTACCTGATAAGATCTAGTAGATTGGGCTCTTTACATGTCCTCTTAATTAGAGAGTGTCAACTCTCTAATTAAGGACACAGACATGACTTCTCACTCACTGTCCCCTTCTCTGGAGAATTACCTAGCATATTCAAAGAGCCCCCCCCTGGTTTTTAGAAAATCAATGAGGACTTGATTGTTCCATCAAACTCAAACACTAAGGGCAGAGCTGATGTAACTATGACTCCCAAGGATAAATTAGCCTTATTAATCTTCTAAGTGTTGAGTCCTAGCTTTTTTATAGCTGCTTACAATGTATGGTTTTAATTTTAAATGTTGACAATTTAACAATCTGTTTTTAAATCACAAATCATGGAATTGAGGAGTTGACTGATGATATCTATAAGACTGTAAGTAACAGAAAAAGAAAATTAAAAGTAGTCAGTGTGGGTTTGGTGGAATAAATACAAGCACACTGTGTAATGGTGTATATGTGTATGGAGGGTGGAGGGGAAACAGTGCTTCCATCCTATCAGTTTCATAGAAACTAGTCTTCAGCATATTATGTCTTTTCTATACACAAATGAAATGTTGATTAATTTGGGATATAATTTAGTGAGGAATATTTACTGAACATAAAATTGTATGAAGTTGACATTTCAATTTTCAATCAGAGAAAGCAATCTCTCAACTCTTTGTCAACTATACTATGTTAAAATACTTAGAACAGGGGTGTCAAACTGCCGGATGCGTCATGGTGAAACCGCACCCACCCCATTGCCGGCAATGGAAAAAAAGTTGTGTTACATTGTGACACGTCACGTGACGTTGCGAGTTTGACTCCCCTGACTTAGAATATATCATTTAAATACACAGAGTAATTCATTAAAATCTGTTGGCAAAAATCTGTATAAGTAGTATAATTTCTGCTCAATGTATTCCATGCATCATTCTAAATAAACCATCATTAAGTTCCTTCCCAAACTTTCCTTTTTCATTTTTGTCTGCTTATTCATTTTACTGTTTTTCATGTGTCTGTTTCATTTGGGTCTGCTTTATTGCTTATTTAATCTTTTCATTTAGAATTATAATGACCTTCCACAAGTTATTGTAATCCTATTAAGAACACGGGTATTTCAAAGTCACTTGACTTTGCAAATATTTTTATTTGCTCAATTATCTGGCTTATTTGGGGGCCAAGCAGGGATGAAGAATCCCCACTCCATGCCCCAATCCTAGCAAAGGAAATGGTCATTTTTCATTCTAACTGAGCAACAAGTTAAATGAAAGAATGGGGCTTTAATATCTGAGTCAGAAAGCAAGTTGTTCTATTAATGTAGACACAATGATGTCCAGTAGCTTTCTTTCAACTAGTGCCCTCCATATATGCTGGACGTAACTTCTGCCATCTCCAGCCAGCA